TCCCCATCTTTTCTCCCCGCCGAGTGGTGCATCAGTTGGGGCTGGGGAGGGCCTGGGTGGGTTACACCGTGAAGTAGAGAGAGGAAAATAAAGATAAACAAAAAAATACAATTAAGAAACGAAGGCGATGGTAAAGTGAGCGGCCATCGACTTTGGGTTCTCTCTTTTCTTGGGGCGTTGTAGAACCGCGGCGAGCGAGCAAATGAAGTACGAAATTTGAAAGGAAAAAGAAGTGGAAGAAAATAATGATGGGGAGTTTTATGTAGGTGCTTAAGGTGATTTGGGTTCATTTCTTCGTGAATACAGTTACACCATGCTTGTAATGCAGACACGCCTTCTTTTTGATAATATTTTTTTTAGTATTTTTTTTGTATTTGATGGGAATATGAAGTGGTTTTTGAGAACATGCTTTGTTTTGTATTTTGTATTTTCTATGGTAAGCGTAACTCTACTAAATACGTTGCCGGGTGGCAATGCCGTCCTCAGCACGAGGCATTGAAGGAGAACGCTGAGAATTACTACTGCGAGTAATGCCAAATGCTGCATCAGTATCGGTACTTAGTGTTGGCTTGTTTGCTGCTGCTGCTTCTTTCTACCCGTATTGCTTGAAGGTGTTTTGTGTAGAGTGGCATTGTTGGGCAGCAATGGCGCAGAGGGATGCGTTATGCTACGCTTGCGCCTTACGAATGTCTATCATGCACCAGGTGCCGTCTCCAGCACCGTTGTCGCAGGTACGTCAGCTTGTTAACGTTGGTGATGGGGGTTATACTGACAGCGGTGGGGCACCATTTGTGGATGAGGTGTACCACCCGCATTTTTGCATCGTGTACGAGACTTCAAGGAGTGCTTTGCGCTTTTTTGACTTGAAGGCGGAGGGCAGCATGGATGTGGTGTGGTGTCAGGGGTTGTCGTTTCTCTGCTGTGCGTGCTTGGGACTGTATCAGTTCATAGATTACGTCTACGCCCCCGCTGTAGCGGCGGCGGTTCGCACAAGCCCCTACTTCGACTCGGATCGTCTTTCTGTGAACGTCAACGTGCACCGCTCCTTGTCTCTCCTGTGGCTGATGGTGTCCGCCGTGTTCTACGGTGTTCGCGGACGTGAGGGTGCTCGGCCTAAACCGTGCGTTGCCATACCGGAGGAGCATTGTAACTTCAAGGACTTCTTTATGAGTGATTTGCGGGCGCGAATTCTGCAGTATACCACGTACCCTCACTTGGAGTTAGGAGCGAAAAAAGCGCCTGTGGGGTACGAAACATATCTGCGTGAGATTGCGCGCCGCTCCAAGGGTGCAATTGGTGCGACACAGCCGCAAGCCCTGCAAGCTTTTACTTACAGTCCGGATAATGAGGGGGTCGTTGTGGACATTTGCTGCGAGCACCATCGTGTGAAGGATCTGGCGGGTGGGGATGCGGTTCCGCCACAGTACTGTAGTAACCGCTGCGAAGGCGTGATGACCTTTAGCGTCCTGTATGATTATGTGCAACCCTATCTTGAAAGAACTGGATGGTGGACCAACGCTGGGCCCGCGGGGGATCAGGCGAGGCACTTTGTGGTGGAGGAAACCGCAACACTCTCCTGCAATTTGCAGCACTCCAACATGTTCTTGATTGGCAACTACCGGAAGATGAAGCGGGATCTCTCGCAGTCGCCGTGGTTTGTCAACGGGGAGCGTGTCGGCAGCTTCTCCCTGCAGGAGATAATTGCAAACCCAATACTGCTTTTTTTCTTTCCCGAGGGTGTCACTTCGGTGCCTGTAGGAGCCGAGTCGCACGAGAGTACCTCCCAGAGTGAAAAGCGACCGAGGCATGAGAGGGCGGTTTCGGATCCACCGCGCCCCGAGGAGCGACAGGGAAACCTGCATCAGACGGCTGCGCAGCATGTTTTTGGCTTCGGACGCTACAAATTTCACAGTGCCGGCCGTGAAGACGTAGATGTGCGCATGCTTGGGGGTGGGAGACCGTTTGTGCTGGAGATCATTTCTCCCAGTCGTCAGCAGTTCACGCCGCAGGATCTTGCCGCCTTTGAAGAGGCTGTAAACAACAGCGAGAAGGGAAGTGTGGAGATTTCAGGCCTGCGCGTCACCGATGCCGAAGTCACCGTGAGGTTGGCGCGGCACTCAGAAAGCAAAGTGAAGAAGTACCGCTGTGTTGTCTGGTGCAGCCGGGCGATTGTGGACCCCGGCCACGACGAACAATTTCTGGCTGTGAATGCCGTGCAGGACCTCGCGATCGAGCAACGCACGCCTATTCGAGTGCTGCACCGACGTTCCATGCAAGTTCGCCCCCGCATGATTCACTCAATTAGACTGACCCCGCTAAATGCGCATTGGTTTCTGATGGACCTGGAGACGCAGGCCGGCACCTACGTGAAGGAATTTGTCCACGGCGACATGGGAAGGACCCGACCGCACTTGGGTGCGTTGCTGAATGGACGGACAGATATCATCCAGCTAGACGTGTTGGGGATGACAATGGAGGGACTTTAAGCAACGAAACGCACCGACAACGACGACGGTGAAACTAAGCGATGGGAGGGGGTGGGGGTGGGGGGAAGAAAAGGTACTGATAAGGTCGGCAGTTTGTGACTTCTTCTTAAGACGCATTCGCACCGCAATGGACAGCGCACTTTTCTAGTCTCTAGCCCGCTCTAGGAAAGGGTGATGGCTGCATTGTTGGTTTCCTTTTGCTTTGTTGTTCCTGGGGATGTATGCCGCTATTTCTTTCCTTCACTCACCCTCTCCAAAAAGCACACACACGCGTTTTTTTTTCCTCTTAATTTTTTTTCCCCCCACACCAAATAGCAGCAGTAAAGGGAACGGGAACATTGACCAAAAAGACGTAGTTGGGAGAGGGGACGGAACCTCCGCGTTTTTCTCTGTGCCCCGTCACACCCTCGCTACCTCTTCGTGTTCCTCATCCTCCCCCGCTGTCTGTCCCTTCTCCTCTCTCCCGATGCGACGCCTCGTTTGCTGCATAGCCGCAACGCGTTTGAAGATCTTTTCACAGCCACGTATGCCGGTGCGTGCGTCCAGCGGCGCGGCGGTTGGGGGTAGCGGGGACGGGGGAAGGAGCGCGCAGGGGCAGCTGTACCGTGTCCTCGGGGCCCGGCTGTCTGTCTCTCCCAGCATTGCCCGCTTCGTGCTCGAGCAGACGAAAAAAGGCTCTACCGTGCCATTTCTGGCGCGCTACCGTCGCGACGAAACCGGACACCTTGATGAGACGGCCCTTCGCCAACTCATTGACATGGCGGAGGAGCTCCAGGAGGTGCAGCGGCGCCGCACATTTATGCTCAAGAGCCTCAAAAATCGTGGCCTTCTCACGGAGGAGCTTCAGGACGCCTTCGAGAAGCTGGTGCACCTGAATCAGTTGGAGGATGCATGGGAGCCCTTTAAGGAGAAGAAGACAAGCCTGTCTCACAGGGGTCGGGAGGCTGGATTGGGGCCTCTTGCGAAGCAGCTGCTGTACACGTCGGAGCCAATGGGTGATGTGTCGGAGCGGTTGCGTTCTGTTCCAGATGGCGCCAAACTTTTTCAGGCTGTCGTTGTGGAGGAGGTGCAGCGCTGTGACGAGGTGCGACAACTAATGCTGGTCGAGTGTCGACAAGGCGGTGTGATCAGCAGTGCACTCGTGGCAAGCCCACGGAAGAGGAATGCCAAGGAAATCGGAGCTGTCGCCTTTGACATGCTTAAAAAGCAATTCGAAGCCTACGAAAATCGCCGATGGCCCGTGCAACGCATCAGCGCTCATAACGTCTTGGCGTTGCAACGTGGTGAGAGCAAGGGTGTGCTTCTGGTGAAGATGATTCCTCACGGTCGAAGCAAGGATGCCTTCTTTGCGTGGGCACGACAAAAGTTCAATGGCTCGCAGAGGCAGAAGGACCCCAAGGCGGTTCGACTACTAAGTCAATGCCTTGAGGCTGCGTACGAGCACATATTAAAGGCCACACACACAATTATACGACGTGACTTGAAAAAGAGCGCCGAAAAGGAGGCTATTGCTGTGTTTGCCCACAATCTTCGTCATATTCTTATGCAGTGTCCTATGCGGGATGCGAGAATCCTGGCAATGGACCCGGGCGTCACCAACGGTGTCAAGTGTGTCGCGTTGGACGAGAATGGTGGCGTATTAACTCGTTTCAAGTGCGTCATTATGGATAAACCCAAGATGAAGGACTACATCAGCGGCTGCGTTGAAAAATTAAACCTCAATAAGATTGTCATTGGCAATGGGACGGCCTCGCGAGAGGTGGCCCACATTGTCGCTGACACTATTGAACAGAGGGGGTTAAGCGTTGAGTACGCAATCGTAAGCGAGGCGGGGGCAAGCGTGTACTCCGTCTCAGATGTCGCGAAGGAGGAGTTTCCAACCCTCGATGCGATGTACCGTGGGGCGGTAAGTATTGGTCGCCGGGTTATTGATCCACTCAGTGAACTCGTTAAGATCCCGGTGCGTTCTATGGGTATTGGCATGTACCAGCACGACATTAGCGAAGTGCAACTGTTGCGTGCATTAAATCGAGTGGTGGAATCTTGTGTAACCTGCGTGGGCGTGAATGCTTTGATTACCAACCGCTACGTGATGGAAAAAATACCGGGCATCACAAAGAGCATCGTCGATCAAATTGTCCTTGCACGATATGCGAAGAAACTGAAGAGTCGGGAGGATTTGCGCCGGGTTCCAGGCATGACGGAGGCGATGTACCAGCAGGTCGCCGGCTTTTTCCGCTTTCCTAATTCCTCTAATCCGCTGGACAATACCAATATCCATCCCGAGTCGTACAGCGTCGTGCAAAAGTTGCTGGAACTGTACGAGGGGAGGGAGCGACGAGAGGTTGGTGGCCTCCTTCTTCGTCTGAAAGGCGTGGAACTTGGTGAGGTGGCGTGCAGTGTTGGATGTGGTGAGGCAACGCTGGAACTTGTGGCGCGGGAGCTCGCCTCACCGGCCCTTGATCCACGCTCGGAATTGCCTCACGCAGGACTTTTTCGTCGCGCTCCGCAGAAGGTGGACGAGCTTAAACCCGGCGACAAGCTAATAGGGGTTGTGCAGAGCGTGACAACGTTTGGCGCGTTTGTGGACGTCGGTCTCCATGACAATGTCCTCGTGCGAGATGTGGACATGGACACTTTGCACACCGGTAGTCTTTTGGGGGACCTGTGCTTTGAGGGGCTTGACCAGCTTGGGAGGGTTCGTGTTCGGTACGATGGCACCCAGCATGCGCGGGAAGGCGCCGCTGCGCGATCCCAGCGCCAAGGTCTGGCTCTCGAGTCGGAGGACTTCCTTCTGCTGAAGCATCCGAGATCAACTGAGGCGGAGCCGACGTTAAGCGATAGCCTCGCCGCGGTGCGTGAAGAACGTCATAAGTTGTTTGCCTCTGCATTGTCTTCTAATGGAGGGCACGAGGCTGCGGGGGTTGCCGCCGCCGCCGCCGTTACCCACGCCGGTGCCAAGGTCGTTAGGCCGTCCAAGAGGCCACGCACGGAAGATGCTGCGGCCGAGGCTGCTGCAGACAAAACGACAACGACTGTGGCGCCGGCAGCAGCGGCAGCACCGTTGAAGAAAAAACGGGCTGAGAGGAAACGGCATGCTGTGTTATCTTTGCCTTCTGAAGAACAGGAGGAACAAGATGCGACTCAAATTGTTGGTGACGCCGTACCGTGGTGGCGCCCAGACGAAGGGGCCAAGGCTAATGGACCGATTGCGGGGCGCGTGGGGGCTGGTAAAGAAAAGGCCCCAGGTGCGAAGGTGCCAAGGGCCTCGGAGACGCCGCGTCCAAGAGAAGCTTTACAGCCAGCAACTCCCACTATAGCCAAGGACAACGAGGAAATCGAAATGTTCTTCTCCTTTTAGTCCTCAGGCGTTTCAAGTTACCTTGGTGGTCGTGAGCACGAGAATATCTTTTACTTACAAGTTCTGTTTCCAGCTCTGTTTTTCTTCTTACTACTGTTTCTGGGTGCGTGAGTGGTGTCGAGACGCGCTTTTGTTGTTGCTGTTGTTTCCAATCCAACCAAACTTCTCTTAAAAGTTGGGGTGGTGGTGTGCTTGTGTGCGATTTGCTCCTTCCCTGTTCATAATACTTCTTGGGAGCTTCTTGCGGGAAAGAGAGTTGGTGGCGGAGAGTATCTTTCCCAGCCAATGCCCTCGCCGCATTGCGGGTTGGTCATGCTTTCTGCCCAGTTATTTGTTCGTCCTTGCCTGCCCGTTTCTTTGTCCAGGGGGGAGGGTTGTCCTCGTTGGGGGAACACACCGGGGATAGAGCAGTTGCTTGCCTTTGATCCTTTCTGCAGTTGCTTCTTTTTTTTTTATTAATTCTCAGGCGAGCTGGCATTGGGCACCCAAATGCTTGAGCACACGCGTTAGAATGGCAGCACGAAATTCCCATGTTCTTCAAGGAAACATCCAAAAGCCCGGAAGTGAAGTAAGTGACGTCGTTCTATGGACACTGCGGGTTTGAAAGCAGAG